AGTTAGAGTCGATCTTTCAACTTGTTAGACTCAATCACCCATTCTATTATCACTATTTTTCATTCATAAAGTATTTTGCCCTTTTTTTATCGTAAAAGATAAAATTCACCTATATTTTTTTTCCAATAGCATGTAAGAGTAGGTCGACCGGCCTCGCTCCATACTCATGCGTGTTTTACCTGCCTCGACATGCAATAGGATAAGACGGGCATAAATATTGAAATACCCGCCACACCCCGCCCCATTGCCATCAACATCAATACTGAAACCCAGCATGATAAAACGAACTTATTAATTAAAAGAAATTTCCCTTCTCATATCACTTAAAGAAAATGGACCCGCTGGCGGCTAGGATTCGTTCTATATTTTTATAAAAATTATCAAACATAACCGCCACGCCAATAAAGAAGAGACCTTAATTTGGTTCATAAACTAAAAGGGTTAATTCCATGGTTGGTTATTGAGATTACAAAAAACGTTCAAGTTTGGTCACTCGAAATATTTAAATTCATTGATGGTACTTCAGTTTACTGAAACGGTTCACGTCTGGTCACTCTCCCTCCAAATCCGTTAACTTTTGCTGAAGTGGCAGTCAACTAAAAAATTATTAAAAAAATAAAAGATAAACATTTATATTTTCCACCTCATTATTACATTCAATAAAAACATACAACGGCAACGCTGCCTCGTTGAAACTTAATTCAGTAGGATCCTTACTTACCTGACCCGACGACTGATTCGTCCTCTTCACCGACCCGTTTCGGTCACCCGCACATGAACCGACCGCCGCAGTAAATCTGTGGGTAGCGGGCGATCTCGATCTCCTCGCTGAGCTGTCGCCAATGTCCCTCCTACTCGGGTCGGGTCTCAACAGTCTTCTTGCACCCTGATTAGGACCCGTCTCTTCGAACCATCATTCTCACCTGCCCACCGTCGCAGGAGGCGGAGTAATTCCTCTTCACCGGGGACCGGTAAGATCGCCGAGTTGGCAGTGGCAGAGCGAGAGCACAAGGACTGGGGTCCTAGGACCCCACTTGGCCATAAATGGGGCCAAATACCGCTTGTATACGTCTATGAAAATGAGGTTATAAATATAGGACCACAATGCTTTTGCCTTTTAGAATACTCTCCACCTGGCACCTGCCACCCGTAACTATTATATAATTGTAAAGCATTTTCTTAATATTAAAAGTAATTGCAATAATCTATATTTTGCGACCCCAATGTGAAAAGTAGTATCTCTCTCCAGGTTCTCCAAACACAATAAGAACACAAGTACTTTCCCCACCTCTACGATTTCAATCCTCTCCTGTTCTACCGCCAACAAGGAACCTTTGTCGCCTGCCCGCTATTCGATTCTTGTCTTCTCCGGCTCTTCTTCACCACCAGATCACACTAGCCGCCCAACCGACAAAGTTTTGAGATTCACTGGCTACTCAAATAAGGGGACTATGCTCATAACTTATTTTGCCTGTTGCTACTGCAAGCGTGGAGAGGTCATTCTCAGCTATGATGTACATAAAAAAACAAGTTTCGGAACCGAATAAGTGATGATTGGCTCAATGATTGCTTGGTAGGCTATATAGAAAAGGATTTACTTAGTAGTGTAGACCTTGAATGTGTTGTACAGTGTTATCAGAATATGAAATCACGCCGTGGTTCATTGTAGAAACAAGTGTATCGTATTAGTAAAATGTCAAAATTATGTGTTCTATTTTTTTAATTTTGCATTAATAATCTTTTCTAAGGAACCCAGTTCATCCAAAGTCTGGCTACGCCACTGCAAGTGGGAGACCTCCCCACCGCCCGTTGATCCTTCCTCGGACCCGAATCCACCGTAGGAAACGCCCGATTCGTCCTCGTCGCGGACATCTTCCCCGATGGGGAATATCTCTTGCTCCCCGCCTTCAGCTTCTTGATTTCCTTATCGTTGGCCGTCGTCGCGCTCTCGCTCACGCTCACACTGCATATCTCCAACGCGTCTTGCTCCAAAATCTCCTCTTCCGCTACAAATTTCCCCACTCGAATTTCCTTCTTCTCCTCGAGCACAATCGGCTCCAGCTCCGGATTCTTACGACATAAACTTTATCATAAACCCTTTATGTAACATAATCATTAAGCACGGGATAATTTATATTATACTAAATAATTATTGTGACCATATACACATACAGGAAAAGCCAAAAGATAGGACATTAGGCCGGCCCAGATGCCGCCGGCGACGGCGGTAGTGCTTACTGTTTGGGAAAACTCATCACCATTTAGACCCACACAACTCAATTTAGCTCCAAACCCCCATCAATTAATCGGTCGTCAATTTATCGAATATCAGTTTCCATGGCTGCTCTAGTGAAGCAAATCGTGTACATTTTATGGTGGTCGGCTTTGATAGTGGGAGTTTGTTTGCTACGTGGAAGCCGTGACCTTACCTATGGCTTCGAATCGCTCCAATTCAACAGTACGTACTTCAACATCCAGAGGCCTTACGATGTTCCTGAAAACCAGCGGTACAGCTTCATCAATGGCGTCCACAGGTGTTGGGTTTACTCCACCGACAAGCCTCACAATCCCACCTCCAACACTTTGCCACGTACCAACGAGGCAACGAAACCCGTTGTATTTTTTTAATGAATGTAATAATGATGTGGAAAATATAAAAGTTATTTTTTTATTTTTAACAAATTTTTAGTTGACACGTCACTAAGTTAACGGTCAATTTTCAGAGTTGACTGCCACATCAGCAAAAGTTAACAGAGTTGGACGGAGAGTGACCAAACGTGAACCTTTTCAGTAAACTGAAGTGCCATAAATGAATTTAAATATTTCGAGTGACCAAACTTGAACATTTTTGTAATTTTAGTGACCAACCATGCAATTAACCCTAAATTAAAATGTAAAAGAAAATCATACATACAACTTGACAAAGAAAATGAAACTTTCTCCTAAAAAAAGTAGATAAAGAAAATGAAAGAGTCAAAAGAACTGGCCCCCTTTCGTAACTCTCACTAGTTAAATGATTAAAAATAAATTAAAGCCTAAAGCAGCAGTAGTAGTAGGTAATTCCATAATAATCGGGCTAAGATCAGATGACTAAGGGGGTCCCTTAGTCACATGGCTAAGTGAATCTCAGCCACTCAACCTCATTTAAATCCAAGGGCTCCTATTAATTCAATTTAATGAAGGGCAGTATAGTAATTACATGTTTATTATATTTATCAATTAAAATAAAAAAAAAGACCAGCCACTAACTACCGTCGTCGCGGCCCGCGGGCACCAGCTCCCTTCTCCGGCCCGACGACATGACCGTTTTTCCCAGTCCCGCCGGCGGTCCACTCTAACGTCGACGATGTGGGGAAAATTATTCCAAGGCGTGGGCATGTTCCTAGTGGGAGGGTGGCATTAATTCCATTTGCCCTCCAAGGCTCTTATGGAATTATTCCTGTAGGGACGCGGGACGGAGAGAGAGAGAGAGAGAGAGAGAGAGAGAGAGAGAGAGAGAGAGAGAGAGAGAGAGAGAGAGAGAGAGAGAGAGAGAGAGAGAGAGAGAGAGAGAGAGAGAGAGAGAGAGAGAGAGAGAGAGAGAGAGATTTTGTACTATTAGTATGCTTTGTATTGTTTGTCGGCTTATTTTGTAATGTTTGTACGCTTTGTTATTTTGTAATGTTTGTCGATTTTTTTTGTAATGTTTGTACGCTTTGTTATTTTGTAATGTTTGTCGGTTTTTTTGTAATGTTTGTAAACTTTGTTATTTTTGTGTATCGTGTTTATCATTTTTGTCAACCATGTTTGTAATGTTTTTTATGTCTAAAAAACACCCGGGTTGACTTTGGGAAGGAACCCCTCTATATAGGGATGGAGCCTCCAAAGTCAACCCGGGTGTTTTTTCAGTTCGTATGGATTGTCGGTATAGTTTGTCATTTTTGTCCACCATGTTTGTACTGTTTGTATGTCTAAAAAACACCCGGGTTGACTTTGGGAAGGAGCCCCTCTATATAGGGATGGAGCCTCCAAAGTCAACCCGGGTGTTTTTTGAGTTCGTATGGATTGTCGGTATAGTTTGTCATTTTTGTCCACCATGTTCGTACTGTTTGTATGTCTAAAAAACACCCGGGTTGACTTTGGGAAGGAGCCCCTCTATATAGGATGGAGCCTCCAAAGTCAACCCGGTTGTTTTTTCTTTTTGTATGGTTTGTATTGTTTGTCGGTCTAGTTTGTATTGTTTGTACAGTTCATACGTTTGTAATGTTTGTAAATCTGTTTGTATGTTTTGTCGCTCTAGTTTGTACTGTTCGTATGTTTGTATGGTTTGTACTGATTCTAAGTCCGGTTTGTATACTTCGTAATTTTTCATAATACCCAAACTACCCCTGTCATTAATTAAATAGCCCTTCCCACTTTTTAACCATCAGATTGATGTGTCCAGATCTAAAGGCTGGGATGGGCTTAGTCAAGTGACTAAGCACCCCCCCAGTCACCGGATCCGCTCTCATAATAATCGCACTACATGAAATTATAATAGTATTATTATTATATATTATAATATTAAATTATCTTTCATCTGGACCGGCTTTACGCATCTAATACGCCTACAGGAACCGCGACATCACCGTGCACCGTCGGAAATTATACAATCACCCTTGTCCTTTCTTGCGAGCCTTGTTCACAAAACAAGCTGGCGGGCACCAATCCGGACAAAAACTGGGTAGAAGGCCCAACACGGCCGGCCGGCAGTACAGAAAAAGTGTTGCTTCGCTAACGACTGCGTAACGAAGTAACTGCCACCCGCAGTTACCTTCCCTTCCAAGGGTATCGAAGTAAATTCCACCCTTCCCCCCAGCCGGAACCCTATATATAGATCGTTACCACTTGTCAATGATATATTAACAACAAATTAACATTTTCTCTCCTCTCTCTTTTCCACATTTAAAATCTAAACAGAAAAAGAAATAAAAAAAATTAAAAGAGTGATCGGTCGGAAACTGGGTCAGAAGAAACAGTCAATGGCTACACTGTCGAACAAAGTGATTGCAGCAGAGCAGACAGAGATTGAGAGAGTTGACTACCGAGGCGGCGACCATCCTAAGGACGCGGAGTCATCCTCCTCCACCGCCACCAGTTAATCACTTTCAGTAATTCACGAGGACATTCTCCGGACACACATCCTCAAGAGACTCGACGGCGTCTCCCTCCTCTCCACCGCTTGCGCCTCCATCGATCTTAGCTCGCTCGCTTCGCAGGACAATTTGTGGAGGAACGTCTGCCGGTCAACGTGGCCGTCCACCGATCTCCCCTGCCTCCAGGATTTTATCTCCGCATTCCCCGGCGGGCACCGCTCCTTCTTCTCCGCCTCGTTTCCTCTGGTGGCCTCCAATATGGAGCCCCACGCCAAGCCGCCGGCGCATTCTCAAGCCGAGCCGGAGAGATTCACGGAGGAGCTGATCTCCTCCATGGACATCTACCACCGCAGAGAGCTGATTTTCAACAGGGCGGTGTGTTGAGGATATTAATTATTTAGTCAAAAATAATTAATTTCTTGTCCTCCAAGTCCCTTGTTTCCTTGTCCTTGTCAAAGAAGGAAACTTGGTTGTCATTAGGGTTTTAACCCTATATCTATATAAGCTCAGCTAGGGAGATTGTCGTAAGCAAGCCGTCAAGATGTAGTCTCATAATAAAATCGTCAGCCGTGAGCTCCTTCGAGCTCACCATGGATTAGTCTCGATCAATCAATCGATCGAGGATACCACGTAAAATCGTTGTCTCGTGTGTTGTTATGATTCCACATCATCAATTTCTACATGGTATCAGAGCAAAACTCGAGCCACTGTTAGGGTTTTGAGCTTCCGCCAGTTTTTGTCTTTTGTCTCGTCGTCTTCGACAATCAGCAGCCACGGTGAAAGAAGTTGTTGGCTCCACCTCCGACTCCAACATCAGGTCGCCGTTGTTGCCCAGTCGTGGTCGTTCGTGGTCTCTCTCTAAAGGTCGTCATCGCATCCCGTCACAGTCGCTAATTTCCATCGGAATCAGTTTCTTCCGCCTCGATCTTCTCATCAACACCAGTTGCCGACGCCGAGTAAAGGCCGTCGTTAGTGGCCTCAACTCGCCGCCGTTCCTCTTGTCATCATCGTCCGCGTCCCGACGTCGTTGACTCATCATCGTCGTAGTCGTCAAGTAGAGGCTGCTCGGATCCGAGTTCCCTCCAGTGTCGCCCTTGTCAGGACACCGCCATCGTCAGTCAGTCAACTTCCCATCCTTCATCTTCGTCTCCAGCAGAATCAACGTCGTCTGCAGCGTTGCTGCCGCTGTCGTCGTCAACCACAACGGTGCAGACCTCCGATCTTGCTCTCAACATCTTCGTCAATCCCACCGCCGTCGCAATCAAATGGCTGCGTATCATAGTCATCTCCAGCTTTGCCTCCTGTAGATGTGTCCCCGTCCTCGTCGTCAAGTCAATCTCACCATTATCGTCCGCGGGGGGACTTTTGTTTTTGATTGGTTGATCCAAAACTCTCGGCCGGTCCACAAATCCAAGGTCTCTCCCAGTCTCCAATCTCACGTCTCACCCTCATCATCGATCAACGTCGTCCGCCGTAGCTCCGATGGCAGCGGTTGGTTGCCGCGGGACGAACAATAGAGGAAAAAAAGCAGACTCGGCAAAGTAACCTAACGGGTTCGTTCATAGTGGGCTGGCCACCCTTTCCTTTTTTTTCGCCTCTGGCGGTCACAAGAAAGCCACGCTCAACAGGCTACCTTCCGCCGCAGAGCGTGTCTCTGTCCCTGTCGATATCTACAATAAGTTCCTGGAGGCAGCTGCCCAAGTTCCCGCAGTCAGAGTCCAGAAATTAAATCCAAGTCCAATCCAAGTTTCTGCTGCAGGCTAGACCTAGTTTTGAATCTGCTTGCCTACGGTGGATTTCGTCTTCACCCTTCCCATTTACCACAATATTTGGGAGAAGTAGGAGTACGTCAGGTCAAAGCAATTACATGGTAAAAAAATGAAATTGATTTGCGTTGTGTTTGTGGTGGAACTTGTGTGCCTTGTTGCAGCTGTCGTCATTATTCAGAATATCAATCAAATTCATGGCAGTGAAGACACTAATGGTCTTCCCTTCAATAGCCAGTCATTTTCAAGTCATCAAGCGAGGCAGTCACGATCAAAGAAGTGATCGTCCCCTCTGCGTTCAGAATCAATCGGTTTTCAGTCTTCATCATTCTAGCTTTCAAGCTGGGCATTCACATCGTTCATGCTCCAGCTTGAGGGGGAGAATAGGGAGTCAAGTCGTTCAGGAGATGCAGTCAACCATCTCCACCATATCATACTCATAGACGTAGTCAATCGTCTTCGTCAAGTTATTAAAGAAAAGCAGTCAACCGTCTCCGTCAGGTCGTTCAAGAGACGTAATCAACCGTCTCGTCACGACGTTCAAGAAGATGCAGTCAACCGTCTTCATCAGGTTGTTCAAGGGAGAGAGCCAGTCGTCTCTAAATCTACCTCGTCCGAGATGTTATTCATCTCGAGTTTTGTTGTTCAAGCTTGTCATGCTTGTTCGTCACATTTCCTTTTCAAGCTCGACATTCTTGTCACTCATGTCTTCTCTTGAGGGGGAGTGTTGAGGATATTAATTATTTAGTAAAAAATAATTAATTTCTTGTCCTCCAAGTCCCTTGTTTCCTTGTCCTTGTCAAAGAAGGAAACTTGGTTGTCATTAGGGTTTTAACCCTATATCTATATAAGCTTAGCTACGGAGATTGTCGTAAGCAAGCCGTCAAGATGTAGTCTCATAATAAAATCGTCAGCCGTGAGTTCCTTCGAGCTCACCGTGGATTAGTCTCGATCAATCAATCGATCGAGCATACCACGTAAAATCGTTGTCTCGTGTGTTGTTACAATTCCACATCATCAATTTCTACACGGTGGAGACGGAGACGGCGAGCAGCTGGTTCCGCAGCTCGCCCTTTTGGGTCGACCTGCTGGACCCGAATGACACGTGTCTGACCTGGATACCGCGCTTCGAGACGGAGGGCGCGTGTGGGGAGCTGGAGGAGGAGCTGACGTTGAGCTGGGTCCTGATCGACCTGGCGGGTCGCCGGGCGGTGAACGTGTCGAGCCACAGGCCCATATCGGTACTACAGAGGCACTGGCTGAGCGGTGAGGTTCACGCGCGGTTCGCGGTGGTGGTGGCGGGGGAGAGGGGAACGCCGTCGGAGTTGGTGCAGTGCGGGACCATTGTCACGTGCGGGGGCGGCGTCCAGGAAGGGGCGATGCACGTACGGGAAGTGAGCCTGCAGATGGAGAACCTGGACTGAATGTACATGAGCGGTAAGGACAGTTTGGGGATTTTGGGGAGGGTGTTTGGTGGGTCCAGAAAGGGAATGAAACGGGAAAGAGGAGGAAGGGGGAGGCGCGAGGAGTTCGTGGCGTTGAAACGACGACGAAGGGACGATGGATACGCTATGCGTGGCTTCTGCCATCTTCATCTTTGCTTTTCTTGCCCTGCTTCTTATGTGGAGACGATGAAAAAAAAACACCAAAATCTTAACTAAGCACTGAACCAGAGAGTACAGAATTACAGGAAAAGAAACCACTTTTAGACAAAAAAAATACATACTACATAGTCTACATTCGCTCTCCTGTTATTCAGGAGATGATCTCTTTGCTATGTATAGTTGTGGGACTTCAATTCAACGAGCTTCGTTGGAGCCAACTAGGCGGTGAGTGAGCATTTACTGATCTCTCAGTTAAATAATGGTTAAACTAACATAATATACGATTTAGTATACTGATAGCATCGTATTTGCACGTGTTTTCACTCGGGTTTCCTGTCCATTTTGGCTCGAATTGATTGTTGCTTGGCCTATTTTACGCTAGGTTGTGTTGTTTTGTCGTATTTCAGGTTCTTGTAAGTAAAGAGGTGCATAGGCGCAAGTTTCAGGTCATTCGGAGGTCAGATGGCGAATCACAGAAGGAATTACGGGCAGCCCCTGCCAAATTACGACCGTAATTGGTCAGGGCATGCCCGTAAAACAATTGCCGAGCCTTTTCCCCAAGAATTACGACCGTAATTCCCAAATTACTGGCGGTAATTGGGAAATTACGGGCGTATCTCCTCCTCCTTCAGCTTAATTGAAACGTGCGTTTTGGGGCGAATTACGGGAAGGACGTGATTATGGCCGTAATTCAGCCCGTAATTCACCCAGAGTCGGGTTTTTGAAGCCAGAATCGAGCCAAGGAAAGGGAGATCGAATTTCTTGAGAAAAAACAAGAGCCCTAGAGAGAGAAAGTGCGAAGAACTCACCCTAGAAGCCATCTTGGAGCTGGGTTTCATCAAATCAAGCTTGGAGATCGTCCTAGGAGTGGAAATCATCATCCCGGAGCAGATTTTCCTCATCATTATGAGTATGACTACTCCGATTACTGTTTTCTTTTCTCTCTCTATGGAGTAGAACCTCTCTCTCACTTGGGGATGAAGAACCCTAGTTCTATGTGTTAGGTGATTGATTGTAATGACTTGGGATGATATTACTGTTTGATTTTAATCGAATGATGCATGTTTATTGAGTCAATTGAAGTCTGATCAACTTTTCCTGATTCCTGCTGCAATCTGAGATAGATAGAATCTGATTAGGTTGCTAGAGTCTCATCATTCGATAGTAGGAGATTGGCTATACGAGAGTTAGCCAGTTTACTGCTTTGTACTGGAATCCAATTCCAGTAGTGGAGTTCTGTTCTTACTGCTTCAGCTTTCTATCCCGGTGAAGACTAGTCGTCTGCCGGGTAGTTAGACTGAGAGGGCTTGGTCAGCTTAAGAGATTCCAAGCTACTGCCGGATCTTCCGCAGTCTAATCAACAGTAAATCAACCCAGGGTAAATTGCAATTGAAACCTAACTAAGGAGCTAGGGGGATTCATTCACGAGTGACTCTTTCCTGCTTAAGAAAACCGTATCAATTCCTGCTTTATTTCTGCTTTTAGTTTAAACAACAATCACTTACTCTAGTTGGCTAGATAACAGAGAATCACTGAGTAAGCAGTAGATCTAGAGCCCGGGTTGATAATATAACTTGCCTGTTACTGCATTCCCGGTCTGCGATTACACTTGGTCGCAGATTGGTGTTGTGTTTTGGCTTGTCAAGTTTTTGGCGCCGTTGCCGGGGAACCTCTAGGTTATTGGGGAAACGTGAAAATTTGTTACTCTAGCCTTTTATTTACTGCATTTTATCTCTTCCACCTGTGTGCCTTCACGGGTTGTTTCTGCTGATTGTGTGCAGGTAGTGCATGACCCGTAGCCAGTCGGGAGATCTACTACCACTAGACCAAGAGCTTGAACGAACCTGCAGGAACTTCAAGCGGGCTCTAAAGGCGCGACTGGCTGCGGAGGAGGCGCTATCGCAGCTGCAGTTAGAGGAGGAAGAAGAAGAGATGGCTGTACCAGGGAACCATGATATGATCCCTGAGGAGCAAACCATGGGATCTTACTGGACCGCTAGAGCTGCGGACATGAGGTCACCCATTCAACATCCTCATGTCCCAGCCAACAATTTTGAGGTGAGCACCTCAGTAATCACCATGCTGCGCGGTTCAGTAGTGTTCCGTGGTAAGGAGGGGGAGTGCCCCCGATCACATCTCCGGCGATTCCACGAGCTCATTGATGGAATCAAGATCAATGGGGTACCCGCAGATGCCATCCAGCTGAGGTACTTCCCATTCACTCTGGAGGGGCAAGCCAAGGAGTGGCTAGACACTCGACCTCCAGGCTCCATCACCACGTTCGCCAACCTGGCGGACAAGTTCCTCACCCGCTACCATCCTCCATCCAAGACGGCGGACTTGCAGAAGCAGATCACCCACTTCACTCAGGATGAAGATGAGACCATCCGGGACGCTTGGGAGAGATACAACAGCCTCTTCCTGAGGTGTCCCAATCATGGTTTCAACGATGCTTTCAAGGTGGGAACCTTCTACCATGCCCTCTTCCCGGAGGACAAGCAGCTGATTGATTCGGTCTGTGGCGGGAACATGCTGACCAAAACACCGTCACAGCTGAATCAACTCTTTGAGGAGATGGCGGAGAATGGGTACGATTGGGGCACTGCCAGGAGATCGAGACGAGCACCAGGACGGGGTGTGCATGCTGTAGGCACCCAGTCATCTGATTTGGTGCAGGTGGTATCGAAGCTGGTGTTAGCTATCGATCGTTCTGGTTTGATTGCAGGTACAGGACAGCCGCAAGCGATGCTTTGCCAGTGGTGCGAGAGCACCCATCACATTGTGGAAGACTGCCAAGCGATGAAGGAATCAACAACACCCCAGGAGCAGGTGAACTTCATCAACAATGTTAGGCGCAACGACCCCTACAGTAACACCTACAATGAGGGGTGGCGCCAGCATCCCAACTTCTCCTAGGGTGGGGCAAATTCCAGACCACCAGTCCCCCAGGGACCACCGGGCTTCCAGAGGCCACCATATCAGCCCAGACAGGGGCAATTCCAGCAGCAGCAGTCTCTCTACCAGCCCATGCAGGGGCATGCTGCTCCATCACAGCCGCGACCTTTCCAGCAGCCAGGTGCAGCCCCTGCCGCCCCAATGCAGAATGTTCAGATGGCTGAACTGCGGGAATTGGTGGGTTCTCTCGCCAGTTCTAGTGCTCAAAAATTTAACACCATCGAGCAGTTCATGGAAAAGGCATCGGGTAAATTCCTGGCTCTTGAAGCTGGCCAGAGGAACACACAGGCTGTCTTGCAGGATATCCAGACCCAGCTGGGGAGTGTGGCTCAAGCAGTGGCACAAAGGGCTCCTGGTACTTTGCCCGGTCAGACCATTCCTCACCCTCAGAACCCGAATGAGCACTGCAATGCCATCATGACCAGGAGTGGCAAGATGACTGTTGATCCACCTGCTCGGGCGCAAGAGAGAGAGGCCCCTGCCTCGGCATCTCCAGCAGCTGAAGAAGAAGTAGAGAAGGAGGTTGAGGTGCCTGCACCGAAACCGCAACCAGTAGTGAAGGAGTATATCCCTAAACTCCCCTTCCCTACTCGGTTGCACAAAGACAGGCTGGAGGCAGAGTTCGAGAACTTCATGGCCATGCTTAGGAAGCTTAATGTCCAAGTGCCTTTCCTGGAGGCACTATCTCAAATGCCTAAGTATGCGAAGTTCCTGAAGGATCTTCTCTCAAAGAAGCAGAAGCTGAGCGAGCTGGCCACTGTGGAGCTCACCGAGGAGTGCTCGGCCATTCTGCAGAACAAGCTTCCGCAGAAACAGAAGGACCCAGGTAGTTTTACTATCCCGTGCTCTATAGAGAATTTGCATGTAGAGAGGTCCTTGGCGGATTTAGGTGCTAGTATAAATGTTATGCCATATAAACTGTTTAAGAAACTAGGCCTAGGTGAACCCCGTGTTACTAGGATGAGCCTTCAATTAGCTGACCGATCTGTAGTGCATCCTCGGGGCATAGTGGAAGACCTTCTGGTTAAGGTTGGCAAATTCAATTATCCTGTTGATTTTGTGATTTTGGACATAAATGAGGATGTGAATGTGCCATTGATACTAGGAAGGCCTTTCCTGGCCACCGCCAAGGCCCTCATAGATGTGCATGATGGGACCTTAGTTCTGAGGGATGGTGAGGAGCGAATAGCGTTTTCAATTTCTAATACTCGTCCTGCTTCGTCACCTTTGCATGCTGTATCTCACCAGGAGCACGAGTCTGTCGTGTATCCTCCTGTGTTGCCTATTTTGCAGGATCCGCCTCCCATACCTTCGCCGCCACTCCCGTCCACTCCGTCGTCGAAGGAACAAATCAGGGAGGAGTGGCGGCCGAAACACCAGGCAGCTACGCCTGCTCGAAATAAAGCCGGAGACCACTATGAGCTGGTCCCGCCCCCACCTTGGCCATCCGAGTATTCACTCGCTTGCATCCTGCCGGATGGCCAAGTTGAGTTGGAAAATGCAGGTGGCCACATTCGCCGGGTGCATGGCCACCATTTGAAGCTGTACCTCAAGAGCGAGGTGGATCCGCTCTTGAAGGCACCTGCTCCTTCACCTCACTGAGCATCCACCGACTGGCGTCCAGCTAAAAGACGGTAAAGAAGCGCTTGTGGGGAGGCAACCCCACCTCGGTTTGCATTTCTAACTTTTTTTTTTCTTTTAATTTTTGTCGTTTTCGAGTCATTGAGTATGTTTGGAGTCTTTCTGGAATGTTTCTCGTGCCCCGGATGGTCTATTTTGGTCTATGTTGGTGTATTTTTTTTGAACCGGGGCACGATTGGGTTTGGTTGTTTGAAATTGCAGCTCAAAAACTGGAGAAAAAGGGCCTCGGCAGTAAAATTACGGGCAAGGGGGGATGAAATACGGTCGTAATTACCCTGCCCCCTGCCCGTAATTCGACCAGAACATAAAAACAGCCTCGGCAGAAAAATTACGGGCAAGGGGGGGTGAATTACGGCCGTAATTGGGTAATTACGACCGTAATTCTTATTCCCCTGCCCGTAATTCGATCAGAGGGGGAGATTGCTCTCGGCCATA